GACACTGGACACCTCATAGCGGTAAATGCTTTGACACTAATCTTTTCATGCATTACTCCAGCTCTGGATGGTCCTAATAAAATCCCATACCTCATATGAGTTAAATATATCAATTCATGTTTGCCAAGCATTTTGATAGTGTAGTGAAGAGCACTATAGGAAAAAAACTCACAAACTAAAACAGAAGAAAATGGGGTTTCTGACCTCAAAGCAGAATTTGAATAAAGTGCAATATAAATAAAACCTGAAGTCACACATTGAACAATGAAAATAAAATGGAAAATTGAAGAGCTACTCATTAACTGAGGATTTCTTTTCTGCTCATGAAATAAAACAGTTGGCTGTAGAAAAATACATAGATGTGATTCAATATTTCAGAAGTCTATCATAATTAGTGTTATTCAAAAGATTGGTCACCGGAACAAAACAAAATAAAAAAATGGATGGAGTTCAGCCCAAAGTCAATGTTTTGTTTATCTTTATCGCCTAAATAAAAGCATTTTCCTTATAAGCCAAGCTTAGTTAAATTTTGAAACTAGTTATTACTTTGAATTTATATATTTTCTTTTCCAAATGTCAAATCACATATCTGTGTCTGCTAGAAAATTTGAAAGGTATTTCAGCTGAAGTCTTCATATGATTTCCTTGTATACCTTCAGTTAACCTGAATTTTTCATTTTTCATATGATAAACTATTTAAGTAAACACTGAATTCACCTGTAGTTCCAGTGTGGTAGGGAGCACTGTGAGGGTGAAAGCTGAACAACCAGCCTGAATCCTGGATTTTGGAGATTTAGACTCTGAAAGTTGAGGGATTTGGTCTTTTAACTTAGCTCTGGATGCACAATATAGATTCATAAATTCATGGTAGGGGAATAATGGTTAAATGAAATGTCTTTGCAATCCAGGACATTATATTAGATAATCAGAATCAGCCTTTTCAACTTAAAAAAATCTATTTATATTAGCATTTCAAATTTAGCCTAAGTGTCCTGTTCATTCTCAACATTATATATATAGATTATATGGTCATATACTGAATTGTTACACTTCAAAACAACAACAGCAGATTGAGATTAATGTAATTTCATGGAATGAATATAGAGTGCTCTGCTAGAGGTTTTCTGCTGAAAAATTATACATGAAAATGGAAATGCTGGTCAAGTTAGCACATCTCCTGAAAGTTCAGTTCTTTGAGTAGCAAGCTTTGGTATATTAGATGGCAAAAATGAGGAAACTGCCATTAAGATAAATGAGTGGAGGAAGCTAAAGCAGAACAAAATGGGGAAAAAAGAGACACCTAGAGCAAAAGATCCTCAATGGCAATTGGGAAAATCATATCACTCTAGAGAGAATGTAATATTCAGCTGAAAATCTCACTCTTAACTGGAGGCTGAGAATGATATAAGGCCTGAAAAACTATGAAATCAGAATAATCTGTTTTCTTTCCATACAAAGGTGCTTACCTAAGGTCAGAGCTGAAACTTTCCCTTTACTATGTTGGCATACCCCAAATGTGAGAACATTAAATACAAATTCAAAAATTTGTATTCTCATCAGAAACCAGTTTATGCTCTAATCAATGACTTTGACTATTAATTATGTGTCCATTCCATGTCTTTCAAAGTTGAGCTTAGAGATTTTGGTATTTTTATTTTATTACATTTGAATGTTTCTTTTATAAAGTCTCATGTTGTGAATAACTCAATTACATGAAGAAGGCCAATGCTGGAGATTGCAAAGTCATATTTTTTTTAAAGAAAATAGATACAAACTAAACATTAGTACACATCTGACTTCAATCCCTGATACCAGTCCAACAATCAATCACCAGGGGCATTGGACACCCATAATTAGATTATAAAATCATAACTATAGTAATTTTACGTCTGCTTGCATAATTACATCAGCATGCTAATATCCTTTTAATGGTCTCTAATGATGTAATAAGAAATAATGGAATTTATTTGACAGCTACATAACCATTAACAAAACATATTAAGCATAACTATTACTTCCATAAAGATCCAGGCTGTATCCAAAAGTGACAACTAACATGCTGGATCTTTTTTTAACATTGAAATATTTCTAATTCTGAATTCCCTCAATCTATTCCCACTCATCTGCTTCACAGAGTGAGCAAAGTTTATGTCAATGCAAATTTGACAACAAATCGGCTGTAGAAATGGACTGGATGCTGTGGAAGCCAAGCCTGGGGATATCCTGTGAACTGAAGCCTATCAATTAAAGTTGGCAGGACTGTGAAAGACAGAAGATAAAATAAGCTGATTACTACCAAGCATCAAGCACCAACAATCAAGAGCTAACACAGGGTGTTGGTAAGAATCCATGGCAAAAGCAATTGTCCACTTAAGTAACTCCAAAGCACATCAAAAAACTAAAAATATAGGGAAGAATGAAAAATATTTGCAGACAAAACTAACTAAAGGCAGTAATTTATTAGTGAAGCAGTTCCTTTCATTTTCCTTTGTTTATTTTTTTTCAGAGAAAAGGACAATAAACTGGTAACTGAGAATTTAAAGAACTTTAAAAGAACTCACCACACCCTCTCTACTCAGTTCTTCCACTATTGCTATTTTACGTGATGACTTTGTCTGTACTCTTAAATTAACCCCAAGATTCTCATTAACATGTCATTACTCTGAAATCTTTGCAATAACCTAAAAAATCCAAGTCTACACTGCTACTTTCTAACCATGGGGAATTCTTGGAGGGAAAAGAGTATTGAGAATTCCAGACCAAGCAAATACTCAGGTCAGAGTTAAAGTAGGCTAGTATGACAAATGCTCACCCTTTTTATAACTCCTCTTTCTCCAGGCTGACTGATATTTTTTTCTACATAATTTCCCCATTTTTACAAAAAATTGAATCTTTAAAAAAAGGATACTTTTAGCTGCCAGTGAAATAAAATAAATCACCCATGATGCCTTAGCCCATGTAAGAAGCATATTTCCTGAGAAATATTTCCTGAGAAATATTTCCTGATATGTCCGTGGTGACTATGACATGACATCAGGTTTTTCCTGAAACCCCTCTCCATGAGACCACTGAGGAGCTAACCAGAGTATTCAAATTCTTGCTGTTTTCCACTGACAGTGGTGCAATGTCAAGAAAACAAATCCAAAACACTTTTTGGCAAGGCCTTTGTCTAAAACTTCTACTACTGCTTTAGCTACTGGTCAGCTCCACCTTCCCTTAAGTACTTTATGGGTTTAACCTGAGCCATCTCATTCTCTTGAAAAAAGATTTATTATGGATGAATTCTTCACTGGTTTGATATTTAGGATAACCCTTCACAGATTTATAGATTTTTAAACAGTCAAAGACTGATAAAAACATTGTATAGATAGAAAGAATGCTCAGTCCTGTTTGGTCTTCCTGTAATTCATACTACATTTTAAGGTACTGACCATACAATTTTTTTCATACAGTCATGTGACTGTATATTAATAGATGCAAAATAAGCAGCTAATTCTGCAGTTTAAAAGAAAGGTCCATCACAACTGGCTAAACCACTGGAAGAATATTTTTCATTATAGAACAAATCAACTGCAATGTGTTGTGATTTATCAAATGATAAAATATAACCAAAAGGCTTTATACTAACAATAAGAAAGGTAGGCAAAAGTGCTCTTGTACTGTAAATGAATGAAGTTAACGAAGCTGAACCCACTGATTCCAGCAGAGAAATAGTTCCATGAGATTTCTCCTTTAAATGTGCAATAGACTTTCTCTGCTAGTGCTCAAAGTCAAGGGTTCAAATTCTCTTTACAAGATAGTAGAATATATATATATATTCAATTTAAAAACTCAGCATTCATAAAAAATATTTTATGAAATACAATCAAAAAACATTAATCAAAACAAAATATGGGAATATTTTCCTTCTCAATAATTAAAGCCAATATGACTGGTATTTTCCAGGTTTCTGAAAAGATTTTCTCACCAGGAGTCCATTTTTCCATACAAATACAGTAATAGAAGGGGTACAATTTTTTTTATTTTATTTTACAATCAAGAATAAGAACTTCCACATGAAAGGACATGATCAGGATCACGTTCCAGATGAAACATGATCAGACTATGATAAAAACAGAGTATTAAACAATGAATTCCATTTTGTAAATGAGGATCAAACAGTAGCTGATGGCAGCACAGGTGAAGCTAAGAAAGATGCTGCACTTCAGTAACCCAACTCATGGGCCAAGGCAAGCAGTCCCAAACCTTCTGAAACACAGGCAGGAGCTGGGTGCTACCCAGACATCAGCTATTTCCTGTGTGCCCAAGATGTGACTTCTTTTCTCAAAACCCTCCCACAGACCTTTCTTTTCAATTACCTTTGCATCAAACTACAACTGTTTTATACAGAGAGGATGAAGTTTTGTGAAGAACATGTTTCTTCCAAAATGCCTTCAGAAAATCTTCAGTCTAAAACACTTTATTGGACATGGCAGATCATAACCTCCTAGTTCATGAGATTAACATGCAGAGCATTCATCAGTATGAATCATAGGAGGAAAACCAGTGTTCAGCAGAGCTGAACTCCCTGTGACTTGTTAAATAAATAGCCGACCAAAACGCATGACCTAGTGTGCCATGTACCAGACTCAAAGACAGACACCCAAGTTTTTTCCATCTCTGATGTCTTTTTTCCCCCTGGTAATGCTGGGTATAATGACCCTTCAGAAGGTTCTCCTTACCTAAAAATTGTTAAATAAAGTTGGCAATATTTGTAGAGCATTTGGAACACATTCTTTTTCCCTATGAATGCAGAAAAAAATTCATCCTTTATAATTTTCTCAAAATAATTTGTTCCCATCTGTAGGGAATGTTACAAAGATCATCAATATTCTTTTTCCCCTCATGCCCACTCTCCTTAATTTTGACAGTAAAGAGCAGATACTTCCTTGTAAGACAAACTATTCAAAAATAACAAGGTATCCAATAAAATAAAAAAGGATAAAATCCCATGTACATACTTGACATCATCGAAGACACTCATCTGCAGCTTCAGGAGATCTGCCACTTCCTTTATTAACTCCAAGCCCTTTTCCACACTCAGGGGGCTGTTGAAAGGGAGCAAGAAAACAGAGCATTAAAAAAATGGAACTCATCAATACTTGAGAGGCTAAAGGTCCCAAAAGAGTTATCACCTTGGCCTCTTTGAGTCTGAAAGCCACCACTAACTGTATTCCTGTCACATAGTAATCGTGATATCAAGGGAATTGGGATCAGGTGCTTCTTCAGGCATGATGAATCACCTGAATTTTCCAGCAATAAGACAAACAATAAGGTGCAAATGGAATTGTTAGGAAGTGTAATGGGCCCATGATGCAGCAACCAGTTCATCTCAGTCCTCAATAAAAAATGTAATAAAGTAAAAGGACAGAAAGAAAGAAAAGGATTGACGAGACAAGGAGGGAAACAAACAATGAAAGTCAAATTTGAGGCTCAGTATCAAATGGACAAGTGAAAAGCATATTTTTAAATTCATTAGATTTTAAAATGAATCTTTACCCAGTGAAAGGATACAAAATTATTATGGATTTGAAAGTAAACAATAGAGCAAGACACACAGTCCAGAGGACACTGATTAGATACATAGGATTTAGCTTGGTGTGTGCATACGCTGCTGACAGAGCCCCCTTTAAATCTTTTTAACCTTTGTCAATGCCACATTTACATTTTTTAATTTGGAAAACAGGTTGCAATCAAGCCTAACATAAGATGACTGCTATCATTTTAAAAAGCACTTACCTAGATGCAAAATTTATATTTGCAAAATTTTGGGGTTATTAGAGTTGATACAGCTCTAAAGATGTATTAAGAACATTCCATCCCTAATATACTGCTCATAACTTGCTTAGTTGTTCAGTACTGTGGAACCAAATAAAAGAATATTAAGAAAGAAGAAGGAAACGTATTAAAAAGTATTAAAAAGATGCGGAAATTATATAATAGTGAAAATAACAGAGACGACATCCTCTGTCAAAATTGTGATCATAGATTTAATCTCAACATTGTTAAAGCCCCAAAGACCATAAAATTATACCTTACAAGCTTATCAAACTTATGCCACGGTAATGCAGAAACAACTTTGCTGAGATTAACCCACAGGAAAAAACATCCTGTATTTTTTCCTTCAAGGATTTATAATAAGTTGAAGAAGGTGTCAAAAAAGGCTTGTAGTATTAGACACAATCTTTTCAACTGGACTAAGGGAAAACAATTTTTTTCAAAGCTTTTTTGAAAGGACACTATTTCTACCTCAGAGCTGAATTTTTTAAAACTAATTTTACATTATGGTGATTCATTGCCACTGTTTTATTTATTATCTTCAATTAAGACTGGGAGTTTCTGTTTTGGTTGTTTTTTGTTGCTGTTGTTGTTTTTGGGTTTGTTTTTGGGTTTTTTTTTTCACTGGTTTCTGCATGCACTGCCCTAAGGGCACCTCTATTTAAATAATGGGATATCTCACATGGATCTTGGTTAGGATGGAATTGTTCAGCCTCCCTTCATGCTACTAGCCCAAAATGCTCAAGAGACCTCCTGTCACACACCCAGAGGTAGCCCCTCAAGGCACCAGATAAATATAGAGTTTTTCTAGATATCTAAGACAGAAATGCTTTCCTGTGAAAGTAACAAAAGAATCTGATTGATTGTGTAAGGAAAAAAATGTACTATAGATTATTCATAAATCTGTTATATTTCAAGGACTGACAGTGGATAGAAACGTGATTATTCCCATCACTGTGAAAGCAGATTGTCATAGTTACTCTGGGGTTTATGTGTTAATTAAATCTTTTCTCCCAAAGAGGTTGGCTTAAATTTTACGGAAATGATTGGTGTCAGCAAGTGGGCTTTTACTGTAATAGCAAGTCTGATGAAGGCAAAGGCTGCTGTGTACATTGGTGCTGCCTTTTAACCAAGGGGGCCTCCCACCCCTGGCTTACCCCTCCCTATTCCCCTGAAAAGCATTCCCCAGCCTCAAAAACAAGATATGCTGCAACAAGCCAATGCAGCAGCACTAAATGGGGGGTGTAATAAGAGCATTTGAATGCTACAAGCCAGTAATAATGCTGGTGGGGAAATGGGTGAGAAAATGGTGCAGGAAGGTTGCATTGTTTTGCAAGCCTGAGCATCCAAGAGAAGTCTTTGTAACTCTCATGCAATATCAAACTCAAACACGAAGGTTCACAAACTCAGATGCAATTTGATAGGCTAAGAAATTATCATTCATAATAGCAAAGGAAAGCTGCAGGATGAGTTTTCTATGGTACCAATTCTATTACTGATCCCACAGTCATACTTAAGGATTCCCATTAAGAATGATTACAATCACAATATTTTCCAATGCAATTTTTCCAGCTTCCCAACATTGATACAATCTAGTACTGTTTATTACAATTCTATGACAGCTGTCTTGTAGGACAGTAGAATATTCAAAACCTTTCTCTAAAAACACCAGACCATGATTTTCCACACTCAATTGATGCTTTTGTTCAGTGTTTCATTTTGCTGAGTGTTGCATGGTTTGTATGGTGATTGCCTTTAACTTTGTTTCCATGGAATCACACCACTTCCACCAGCACAGTGCTTAGCAAACTGACCTACCTTGCAGCAGCACTGTTCACCCACATCACTCAGCTGATTTCAGGCTTTTACAAGAAGGAAGAAGACAATCTTTCAAACATCACCTGTTCTCCTGCCTGTGGCCCTCCCACACACCCCCAGACTCAATACTTGTAGAAGATACGACGTTTGTGATCTTTCACGTCCTATGCTTAGTTTTCAGCCTGCTTGATTCAGTTTTTGTATTAGGCAGTGGGGGTTTTCTTAGAAATATATTTCATCTATTGATTGTGTGAGTTCAACAACTACGGAATTAATTCAATGAGAAGTGTTAGACAAACCAAGAAAGAAAGACTTAAAAGAAGTGTTCAGATAAGGAACAAATAGTGAGACACTCCAGACTGAAGATGTAACAGTAGAAAGAAGACTATTTAGACAAGCCCGACAATTGAACTATTTTATCAAGGCCAAAGACTTTGAGAATAATTATGGTAGGGTTCACACCGCTTTGTCTGAACTGATGGTCAGTGCAGTTCCCAGTGGGGGAGCTGGGAACTCCTTTGATGCTGGGCCTTGCTGGCACTCCAAGCTGTACAGCACAGAGTGAGTCCCTGGGCTGTGGCCCCTTACATTCCAGGGCCAAGACAGGTCCAACTCACATGCATTTTCTTCCAGGAGTCTGTGACAAGGCATTTCAGTACTCCAGTAACAGTGAACCCTTAAAAGAGAAATCACAATTTGCATAGGCCTCAGAGATACAAAGCATGAGCTGGAAAAAAACAAAAGCAGAAAAAGGACCTCTCATGGATGCTATTTATGTGTTCCAAGTTCTCTTGAGGCTGGCTAACCCTTTCTATGTCCAAGAAAACTAATGGTTTCTGCAGTGCCTTTAATACCCTGCTTGATGGCCACCAGAACAAGCTCCCCAGGTCACAGCACTCTGGGCAGAGCTCAAGAAGTGTTTGGACAATATTCTTTGGTACATGGTGTGATTTCTGGGGTTCCTGTGCAGGGGCAGGAATTGGACTTCAGTGATCCTCACGGGTCCCTTCCCTCTTAGGGAAGATTCTATGATTCTATTTGATTTTATCACTACTTTTTTTGATTGCCTTGAAGGCTTCTGATCACTTTTGGTCTACGTTTTGGCCTTAGGAAGAGTCAACTGCTGGATGGCAGAGCACCTTTTTGCAAATAATATAGATGTTGCCAGATGAGATTGGGTTTCCTACCTTTACTCTCATTCCATTTGCCATAGATTTCTCTTTTGCACCTTCTTTCAAGGTAGCTATAATAATAGCAGCTAAAAGAAAATGTGATACATATCACTGTTTAAAATTATTCTTTTGAGGCCCTTTTTAGGTTTCCATCTCAAGTTCTCTTGGAAGATGAAAAGAGAGTCAGAAAGTATATAAAATTCATGTATAATGTACTTCCTTCCATTACTTTATCTTCTAATACCATCTCTATCTGTGAGTGCTACCCTAATTATTATTTTTAAAGTTGACAGATTCAGACCCTACTGAACCAGTAGCAGAACTGTCTCACTCAGGTGCCAATCTCTATCTTATTGGTAGATTATACTTTGACACGCTAATGACAATGAATAAATAAGTGGGGAATGAAATATAAATATTTCCTTTGGGCTTTATAAAGATAGATAGATTGATAGATATATCTTTAAAGTCTTTCAGAGTGTCATCTGAAAAATATTTCACTACTACTTTTGTTTGATCTCAGTTTTCAGGGCATGGCTGTTGCACTGTTATACCTCCTGGAGAATATGGTTTATATCTCTGCTAAAAATAGCCAATATTATATGGTAGTTCTGCATTACCTCTTCAGATGAAATGACTCCCCATCTCAGTTCAAGACTCTGATTTAACACCATGACATAGCCATGAAAACTTGTATCCTCTTTAATCATGTCAAAAATAAATCTACTTGGTTGACCTAAAATAATCCTGAGCCAATCAGCTCCCTATAAGTACATCGGAAGTTTTGTCTAACACACACACATACACACAAAAAAAACCCAACCAAAAACAAAAACCCAAAACAAACAAACAACCAAGTTTAAAAAAGGCAGGATCTAAGCTATAAAGCCATTTTATTTACAGATGAATCTGAAATGAAAGCACAGGAAAAAAATCTCTTAACTTTAATGTGAGCTGCTGACCACTTCTGAAAATTAGTGCAATCCATTTAAATGCTCAGGAGTGGATTTGGAAGCCCAACTTTATGTAATTGTCAAAGTGTTTCCACACCATGTACTGGACATGGAATAGAAGAAAATTAGATTGTCTGGTGAAAATAAGATTTTGTGTCTTCCAGTGTCTAGGTCCCTCCCAGTGAGGATGCTGAAAACAAATATTTTATGGAACAATCCACTTACAGAGGTAATTTAAATAATAGAACACTGAATGATAATCTTCCTCTGCTATTGACTATTAAGATTTAAGTTTTCAATTTACAAGAAAAATGCAATGATGAGAAG